TCAACGGTCAACCATCTCTACATCATTATGCAGCTATTATTTATAATTTATATTATTAATCTCGCCTTGTTGAAAATTTCTACCGTGTGGTCTAAAGTATACACCTTACTTTTTTTGTAAGACATGATTATATTTTACCATTTTCGAGGGGAGGTCTTTAGCCGGAAAGCCTCCTCTCTTACCCTCCCCCCTTCCCCTTAGGCCCTTTTGTTTTTAAATAGTGCTTTTTTTTACTGTGCCTCAAGAACTCCTTAAACATCATTATATATTACTTCCATTCTCTTTTAAAGTAATAACCGTTATGTATATTTTAATAAATCTTGGATTCTCTAATAGTAGAGTCGTTAAAGTTTTACTTAATTAAAAATAAAAAATCTACTGAAGGTAGGATTGTAATTGAAAGTTGCTTAATGCATTTTTTTTAAACAAAAAAAATTAAAAACCCAATTTTCAAACTAAAATATTTCTCTGGAACACAAGAAAGTTCATACCTCCCCACTCAAGGTATGTATTTTTTTTTCATTCATGTATTCATTTATTTTTGTGTTTGAGGCGTTTTTTTTTTTTTTTTTTTTTTTCTGACCCCCCAGAAACTTTATTGAACACTACTTACAACATACATCTATGAATGTATATATACATTATTCCTTGACCTTTGCTTAGCCAAGGGTATTTTAAGGTAAATGACAGTTTATGCCGTAAGCATCGGATACTTTCTGTGGCCTTAGGCCAAAGTTTGAGGCGTTTGGTAAACGTTTATATATATATATAGAATGGACGAATTAAGAATGGTCAGTGGCACTCCACTACCTGGAAAGGTCAGAGGACGGAACTTCTTCTACCTGGAAAGGTCATATCGCTCCTACCGTCCTCTTGCTGGAGTTGTCCAAGAAGCTCCATATGATGCCTGGCTTTTACCGTTGACGGTACCATATGTTTCTCCTCGTGTAACATTTGTTCTATTTATCGTTTGTTTTTCTCATAACACCATCTTCGAAGTGTTGTAGTTTATTTTATTTTTTACAGTGTTATTGATTTTTTTTTGGTTTTTAAACCTTAGCCGGTAAGTAACATAATTTTTTTAAAATCTTTTAAAATTCATTATAATTTTTCACCACGATAATGATATATTTGTTTATCGGTATTGTTACAATTATTTGCAAAAAAAAAAAAATAGAGGAGAAAAAAAATTAAAATTTTAAATCTTAAGTCTTAACATTTATAAACAACTCAAAACAAATATTGAAACATTTATAAAGCCATTCTAAAGTATTTTGTAAAATTGTTTACAAACGTTTTTTCAACAAAGTTTATTGATGTTTTTAAAATTTAAATTTGTAAAATTTTGTAATAAAAAATTTGTTAATCGAGTTTGCCGGTTTGGGCCCAAACTCGATAAATAAATTTCTAACTTAACATTCTAACCTTTTTTTACTCTTACAATTTCAACAGTATATCCATCACTACAAGTATTTACATTGTTTTATTGGAGAAAAAAAAATTAAAAAACATTTCCTAGTATTTTATGATTTATTTACCTCTCATGTGGACATCTACATTTTCATGTGATTTTCTTGTAATGTTTACGATAAATTTTGAAAAAGAAATATAAATATATTTTACAGAGAATATTTTCACATATTTTAAGATTGTTAAACTAAAAAATCAAAAATATTTTTCGTTTTTTTACATTTTTCATTTTCAGTTGGAAAGCTACAGAAATGTACCTATAATTTGCATGTTTATTGTATACAAATTTTAATAAATCCAGTTGTTTTGTTCAGATTTTTTTAAGGATATCGATATGCACATAAACAAATTCTACCACTTCCCAACAAATATATAATTTATTTTTTTTATCCTTCGCCCCCCTAATAGAAATGGAAACTGCGTATATGCCTTTAAGTACATTTTTTTTTAATGAAGGAGATGGTCCGGGGTTGCGGTCATAAAAAGGCTAAATAGTGGTAAAACTATAATGCAACGGTCAACTATTAAATATTCAATTTTTTTTTAAATTTGCGGTTTTGAACTTTTTTGTACAATATTGGCTACGTTCACTAATATCAATATAATAAAAAACCGTCACCTAAAGCATACAATAAAAATTAAACGTGTGAAATCGTTATTTTTATGAAAAATCTACGGTTTATTTCATCTGAAGAATTATTTTAGTTTTTGTACCTACTGGATTTTTATATACATATCATTTTTTTTATATTTAAAAGTTTAATTTTATTTTTACAGTGATATTTAAGGCGAATTAATAGTGTATTATTAAGTTAAGGTTGCAACCCTTTTCCCTAATTATTTTATTTTATTTAATTAGGGGATTTTTTTTTTTTTTTTTTTTTTTTGTGAGAGGGGAGAACTAATATTTTACCTTCCTAAATGCCTTACATTTTGTTGTTGAATTACTTTTATTATAATTTAAAAATAGAACCTATTTTTATTTTTGTAAGTATTCTGTATACTTCACTCATAGAAACAAAAAATAAAATAAACTGATGAAATAAAATGTATATTTTTTGGGATTTAGGCCAGAAAGCCCTTGATTCCGCTAGTTTGTGAAGATTTTAATATCTTAAAAAATCTAAAATATATTAATGATTATATTATAAATAAATAGAAAGTAGTGGTATATTATACCTGAGAATGTGATTAGATGAAATGTCGTATAAGTTCATAAAATTAAATTAAATTGATGGTAATGCGGATTTCAACGTTATTTTATATATTTTTTATTATCATTTATTTTAGGCTTTATGTTTATTTTGATTTGAAGAAGTTTCAGTTTTAATATTTTTTAAAACGTACAATTATACCCTATATTTTATTTTTAAAGTATTAATATGTCAGGATTATATAGATATTATTCTAAATTACAGTCCGTGCTACATTAAAAAAAATTGTTAACATCGAATTGCATAGTGAGTATTAGGTTTTTATCTGTTGATTATTTTTTTTCAATTATATTCGAAGTAACCTTATGAATCTGAGAAATATTTATAACAAATGAAGAGCGGTCATTGTCGAGGTTCTATCCAGGACAAAATAGAAGAGAGAATTACTTTTAAAATTAGTTTCTTTCAAAATGTTTAAATACTGTCAAACAATCTGTAGCTGCCAGTCAATATTTCATTACTTCGTTGTTTATTCTTATTGCTGTTTTATTTTAAACTTTTGTTTTATCAAATTTTCCTTAGATAAGTTCTTGAACAATGGAATCTCTTTGGACCGTGTAGAACAGAAGATAGTACCTAGAAAGGACTGAGAACAATACTCCCACTACCTACTAAGATACTCTGGTCCCTTTCTTTGTCTAAAATAGGAATGTTTCCATACATCCTATAGTCTATGTTATCTGTATTTATCGTCCTATGCTCACAATAATTGAATCAATATTTTCTTTCGATAGCATCCGTTATCGATACTTTTCTTTAGATAATTGATAAACAGTAATATTCCTACTTAAATTAACATCTAACATATTCTTTATAATTATTTTTTTAAAGTATTATAACGGTCATTTCGATGGTTTCACAAGACAACCTCAAAACTGATTTTTTTCCCAATTTGAAAACGGTAAATCCATTGCTTAATAACTTTGAATTCGATTATTGACAATTTTAAATCCACAGGTCTATTAGATGAAAAATTTTCGTTTAAATTAAGAGAAAAAAATATCATAGGTTTTTAAATCAGTCAGGACGCAGTTCTTGGCGTCGACGTTTCAACCTAAGTAAGGTCATCATCAGGGCTGAAAATTGTTTAATACAATCAGAAATATAATATTATAAGACAGATAATGGTTAATATTGAAAAAAAATTAGTGATGGGTGATAAATTAAATAAACAAATGAAATATGTAATAAGTTCTCCAAACTAAAAAAAATAATGTATGTAAAAAAATTATAAGAAATGTAATATTTACTCTTACTAACCGTGTTCCAAGTACTGAAGGTGTTCAAATACTTCAAATAAATAATAAAAATACTGACTATTCATCACTTATGATATGTAGAAAGAAATCATTTATGATGTTATTATGTGAGACAATCAATTAATAATGTTTCTTTCAAATAAACAATATTTAATATTAATTCTACAAAGTGATCCAGAAACGCGAAGAATCAATTTGTCGTAATCGATAAATAAATCCTCCATGTTTTATAAATTTATCACTTTTTAACTCCTTAATCATTCTAAAGTTTAAATTAAAACGAAAGATTTGTTAGTGTCTTCCTTTAGTACACTAGCGGATCCAGGATTTAACTTTTCAGGAGGCTTCGGTCAAAAAGATTTTATTTCTTGAAATTCTTTTAAAAATGTAACCACAAGAATAATAATACTTTTAGAGATATTTTTTTCATAAGGCGTGGTTATATTCAGTAGTTGTAGGTGCATTATAATTTAATGAATATAACATATTGGTATTGTTTAAGCATTTTGATTAGATCATACACAGTAATAAATACAGGGAAATTAAAGAGAAATAACTTTTCCATTTTGGTGGTGAGGGGGGGGGGAGGGGGATTCAGCCTGAAAATTCCCTTGTAGACTCGCCTGTATTCCTGCAGTTGTGTAAGGGAAGATTCCTGTGCTATCGATAAGTTAAGTTTAGAAATTAGCCATGTATAAATCACTTTGAATGTATAATAAAGTATGTAAGGAGCTATGTATTTAACAAGAAAATAATATATAAGTGGTTTATTAATGAATTAAATTGAAAGAGAAGTAAGTAAACAAAATTAAGTATTAAACTTTTATTTATTCATATAACTTTTTTATTTATAGAAAGATTGTTAGAAATATCTGAAAGAGATTAAGAAGTAAACAAACTTTATTTGTCAAGATAGGGATCATTTTACAAATAATAAAAGGTTAAAGGCAATTTTATCAACTATCGAATGAGTATAGATATTTAGTATCGATACTTTTCACTCGATACTTCATTCATCACTAGCGATCTCTAGTCACATTCTTGCCAAATAGGTCGTGTTGACTTCGCGCTTTGTTTTGTTAAAGCATTGATGGATATTTTTCGGGAAAACTGCTATTTTTAAATTCATAAGACGGTACTTTTTATTTGTGTTATTGGTAGTAGTGACATTATATCATTACCCTCGTCTTGCTGGAGAAGTCTCCATTGATCTGGAGAACTGTATTTTCTGTCTGATTCTTGCCTTAAACTTCTAGTATTGTGTAAGTACTGCAGTTTTCTTTCATTTTCATCACATATTTTGTCGCGGTTATGTAACACTTGTATCTGCATCGAGAGGTTCTCTCATGTAAAATAACTCTATTGTTTTTCTCATACTTTCCAATTTTTTTTTTTTTTGTTTTGTTTACTTTTCATTCCTTTAATATCATTTGTTCTACAATTTCGAAAATCATTAATAATTACAGAAAGGTATTTTCTTGAATTTGTTTGTGTTTTCTTACTTCTAATTGAATCTTAGAAGTGTTTGAATTATGTAATTATATAATTTTTTTTTTTTAACAGTAAAAATGGAAAACTGTCCACCGCAGAAGTCGGGTGCTCTAGCTACCATAAACAGCTGGTTTTCGTTTACCACTCCAGCTGTAAAAAAACTCCTAGGATGGAAACAAAGCGATGAAGAAGAAAAGTGGGCTGAGAGAGCCGTAGATGCTTTGGTTAAGAAGTTGAAGAAAAATAAAGGAGCATTAGAAGAACTTGAAAAGGCATTGAGTTGTCCTGGACAGCCCACCAATTGTGTTACGATTCCTAGGAGCCTTGATGGTAGATTGCAGGTATGATTTATTCAATTATATGGCTCCCAATCATTTTAGTCACACTTGTTCATGGAATGTCAAAATTCCTCGGGTTTATTCGTAATAGTACTAACCAATCTCTTTAGTTAATTACATTAAACTCATCTGCTATTTAAGTAGATATATACACTTAACCATGAACAGTTACATAACATGATTAGTTTCTGATGGAGTTTATATTTACATTATTCAGCTATAAAAAAATCTAATAGACACAAAACTTTTAATTACTATATCACTGAATATTATTTTATAATAAATACTTTTTCTTATTGATAATTTCTATTATTCAGTATCATGTTATTTTTACTTTCACTTACGTATATATGAAATATATAGTAAGGGTAAGTATTGCGATCATGAAATTTTTGAATCTGAGTTTTCAACGGAAAAACACGTTTTGGGACACCCTGTCCAAATAATCAATTCCCAAAAAAGGGTCTGTATGTTTGTATGTTAGCAGTCTAGCTCAAAAACAAAAGTAGTACGAAACTGATATTATGTATTTAAGATAGGTATAGTAGGTATATGTCTTAAAAAAATGGGTTTATAAAAGCAGAGTGACTAGATTTTTATTGCCTACCATCGATCTAATAAATAGACTTTTTGTAATTATAATGGTATTAATGACTTTGTAAGTTTTAAGCTTTAGTTTCGTCTAAAATGTACTTCAAAAATATTATAATAGCTTAGCATTGCCAGAAAATAATTTATATTCAAACTAGAGCGGTAAGTGAAAGTTGTGTGTTGCACACACCAGATTTTTTAAATATAATTTCTCAGTTGTAATGCCCACTATACTCACTCCATCCTTGGAAATAAATATCTAAATAAACTCAATTTTTTTTGTTAGTAACTGCCTTTAATGTCAAATCCGTTTTCAGTTTATTGAGTATGAATTACAAAAAATAGAGAGCTCATTCATTCAATAAAAAGAAATTATTAAAATAAGTAAATAAATATGAAATCAAGAGTATAGACCAACTTTAACAATAAACAAATTTGTTCAACAGATAAATCGATTAATTTGAGTTAGAACTCCATTTATTGAGTCTGAGTTAAGAGAAACGAGTGAAACATTTTCTGACTTTTTCTCTTGTATTTAATGAATGGATTTTCCGATTTCCCGGAAGTTTCATGATGGGTACACAAAGGTATTTGAAAAATGAGTGATAAGATTGGATGGTAGGGGCAAGAGCTGACGTCATATCTTTCTGCCAAATTAGATCGATTTTGGCATTCCATGAATATGTGATTGTGAACTACCCCTAATATGAGTGTAGCACTTATAATGGTATTATTAACGAATCACCCTAATGTAGATCTTGTAACATCCGAATGATGCTTTGTCCAAGATCATATTTATCACCGTGTACAAAGATTACTGAAAGTAACCAAGTATTTCCAACAATATCTAATAGTTCTTAATTTCTCCAAATTTGTTGAACAGGTCAGAAAAAACAAAACCACTATTTTTCTGAACATGCACTGCATGAAATTTATTCATTTGAATTTACCATGATCAAGAATGAAATATAAAATGATTTTTGTATCTTAAAAAATTCTTTCACTTGTGTAATTTTAGTTGTATAAATATATTAATTATATAAACAATTAATTTTGCATTCTTGTTTTTTTTTTTTATAGGTTTCACATAGAAAAGCATTGCCTCATGTTATATATTGCCGTGTTTGGCGTTGGCCAGATTTGCAGTCGCATCATGAGTTGAAGCCAATGGAACACTGCCGATATCCGTTTTCATCGAAGCAGAAAGATATTTGTATAAACCCATATCACTATAAGAGGATTGAAAGTCCAGGTAAATATGTTTTACTTAATTACCTATTATATTAATTAAAAGTTCATGATGCCATATTATAAAGATTATAAATTTTTCATCCACATTTCAGTTATAAATTACCTCAAGTTAGAGAATATTATGCAAATTGTTGTTATTAAAGTTTCTTGTTTTTTGATATTTTCAATCTTCTGTTTGTATCAGGAGAAACAAAATAAATAGTTTGGTTTAGGAATATTGTTGCTGTTAGTTCAATTAGATAATTGTGTCTGCTATAGTTCGCGAAATGTCTAAACATACCTTAAGTTTGATTTACAAACTTAAACTAACAAAAAAAAAATTATTTCTACAGTATGAACTAGTATACCTCAGTGAGAATTCTCACATTAGATAGCTTATTCTTCTCTCTATTGCATTTAAGGTATATGTGACTTCAGCAAAACATGTTGATTCGTATGTACAATATAATATTATCAAAATAGTCTATTCAACACACACTATTGGTGAAGCTTCACACTTTACCAGGACTGTTAAAGTAAAAATTTGGTGCGGTGTGCACATCAGACAACTTTCACTTACCATCCTTCTTTCAGGAGAAACAAGTAGTTTCAGACAAAGGGAAGAGAATGAAGGCCACTAAAGTTATATATACTTTATATATGTATATATACTTGTAGGTATTTTTATTGGTTTAAGCATTGATAAATATATATAAATTTTAATTTTTATATTGCTGTAATCTATATAATCAAATACTAAATAATATCAATGCTTTATGGAAACCACACATGATGTGTAGAAGGCTATTCTAACCTTCGGCAAAGCTTGGCTGCGCGCTCGGGTTTCGTCAGTTCTTTATTATTATATTTATTAGGTTACTTCTCCTTTACATCATTATTGAATTTTCTTGTATTTCATATTCAACTTTTTTTTATATCCAATGTAAAATGATAAATTATTAAAAAAAAAAATTAAATGTACTATAGAAGAAAAAATTTTGAAAATTAAGCATTTAAACATTGATAGAGAACATCAATGAGAATAAGACCTGCATTGTATTAAAAAATGTTTAATTTTGCACTGATGTAATGAATTTAATCAAAATCATTAGAGCTGTTTTTGAGATAATCGTAAAAATGTCTTAAATCGATGATATAAAGTAGCACTTCCAGTTAACCAATTTTAGCTAAAAAGTTGCTATCCCATCCGATCTATGTGCAAACCTTACTACTCAATTTCAGTTTTGTACGGCTTTTCATTTTTTAGCTAGCCTGTTCGCAGTTGGTAACCATAGTATCTAGAAGCCTTACTCGGTACATTTCTGCATTATATTATGACTTAGACATATTTTTCATGGCGAAAATATTATTATTTTTTAAATTTAGTCTATATTTTCATTTTATTTTGTTTTTAGTTTTGCCACCAGTGCTCGTTCCACGCCAATCGGAATTCGCACCTGGCCATTCAATGCTACTTCCGTTTCAACAAGTACCTGAACCGTCGATGCCTCAGAACGTCAGCTACAGCAATAGCGGCTTCAGTGGGCCCGCTGGCCCACCTTCGCCCATGAGTAGCATCAGTAGCATTATGAGCCCAAGCTCTTCTCCTCAGAGTCAGTACTCCGAAGGCGTTGCAGGTACCTAACAACTTCTTTCGTAACATTATTTAGAAGACAAATTCTGTTAATTTTGACTTATATCAATATTATTATTATTATAGATTTCGGAAACTGCCAGACATATTCCAATCCAAATGCGATGGATACGGCCCCTGCTTCCGGAGCCTCGGCCATTTCATATCAGGTGATTCTAAGAATATTTTTTGTTATGCCTGTTTTATTTTGTAATAGCCTAAGGATGGTATGCTATTAAGATCTTCTCTCATTTCCATGACAGCTGCTTTTACATCAAACAGATGGTGCATTTAGAACATTTGTTATTTTCAGAAAGCAGAGAAAAAGTCAATTTTTGTATTATATGTTATATTGTATATTATATATATTGGATTACACGTTCAACTCGAAACTGTTTCTGATAATTTTATTCAGGGGTCTCGAAACTACGACCCGCATGTACCTTCATTCACGAAAGTATTCTTGATTACATGATAAAATTTGAAAAACTATTTAAAATGTGAAATTTAGTAAATTACTCACACACGAAGTTACTACAACATTTATTGCATTTGATTTGTCTCTTATAAATAAAGCTTATGAAATGAGCTGACGTATCATTTATAGAATAAGATTTTTTTTTTTTTACTCAATCTATTTTTTCATATGTAAAGTACAGGAATTTTCAACCCTTTTACAATGCCATTACGAATCTTCATTTAAACATTTTAAGGAACAGATTTAAATTAATTTTTATTTCAATTATTTGTTTCGTTTATATATGACAATGGTTTGCCTATAAAATTGATTTAACGTTCCTGTCTAATATCATTTAGATATTTTAATTTTATTATTTTTAACAGCTGTATTGCAGTATTGTAACCCTAATGCTCATCTGATTTCGTTAACAGATCTCCAGAACTATGTATAGACTTGTCTTATTATTTATGTTTTAGTTACTCTTTATTGTAACAGGTCTCAGGTCTCTTGGCTAGATTTATTGATTATTTGTATGAACAATATTGTCTATTCTTAAGAAGCTTTGTCGCAGAATAAAGATGGTTTTTCTAAAGCCATGGCCCACAGGACTTGGGTGTAAGTCTCAATAACTTATTCGAGGTCTTAATATGGGCCATGGGTCAAAACATTTGGAGATCCCTGATTTTATTCAAGAATGTTTCATGTTGAATCATTAAAAAGATTAGAATTGGTTTAAATTAAAGTTATGTAACACAAAATCGGCTTTTTCTCAACTTTTTAAAGATTACAGATGTCCATCTTTGATATTAAGCCTCTCGTGTTTAGGCATTAGTTTTAATTAATTAATGGTGGGATTAATTTGTCTGAAAGTCATCCTTTTGTTATTTGTTTAATTAATGCTAATAATTTCTTAATTACTTTTTATCTAATTCCTAATCTATTGAAAGTAAGGAAGTATCATAGCATTTATAAGAATATATTTAAAAAAAAAAAAAATTTATTTTTAGGAGCCGCCATTTTGGGCTACTGTCGCTTACTATGAACTCAATTGTCGGGTAGGCGAAGCATTCCATTGCCAGACCCGCTCAGTAGTCATCGATGGATTCACAAATCCAGGTTCGGTTATGAATAATAGATTCTGCCTAGGCCAGGTGCCGAATGTTAATCGTAATGCCGCAATCGAGAACACGAGGAGGCATATTGGTAGAGGTAAGACATTTTTTTTGCATTTTTTGAAACTCATTTATTACGACTGGAAAATTTCATTGAGAATCTTATCAATAATATTTTTTTCTTATTTCACTCTTTCGTAAGACTGTTTATTCAATTTATTACATTTACTTGTAGGAAGAATTAATAATAAGTTATATTTTTTTACCATTCTTTATTACTTTTATGTTTAGAGCTTTTAAATATTAAGTCGAAACTTTTGGGTTGAACAACAGAGTAAGGGATAATAATATATTAAATGGATGACCTAGCATCTACGTTAAATTTGTGAAACAATTTTAAAAATATAAAATAATGGTTTATTAAATAATGAAAAAAATTAATCAAATTGAGTAAAATGGAGTGAACCTTTGGGCTGACTAAAGCAGTACAACACTGTGTTAAAAACAGAATGGCTGTATGCCAGCGAATGCTGGAAAGTGGGAAAGACTGGGAGTACTGAAAAGAAGAATATTATAGAAAATAATGATTCCAATCCAGGTTGAAACCGCCTGGGAACTTTGGAGCAACAAAACAATGAAATTCACTGAAATGTGGAGAAAATCTCGGAGACCATGAGAAAGAAGAGGTCATCTTTTTCTTTGACACTTCTACAGATTGAACGGAACTAGATAACTAAAAGGATATTCAATTTTCTGTGGAACAAGAGGACAACTGTGGCATAGATTAAGGAAGTTCCCAAAGATCTAGAGAGGTCCAACATCCAGGAGGTTCAGATGTTGAACATGATTCGAGGTTTGGAAGACTAAAAGAGTTTGGACAGATAAAGCAGCAACAAGCATCAGCACAGCCATAGCATCCTTATGAAGGAGTAATGGAGGCAGAGGAAACTTCATACAAAAAATCTGGTACTGTACACGCATCACACAACTTTCATGTACCACCTTTTTCTTAGCAGAAATAAGTATTTTCAGACAAAGCGAAGTGAAAGTAAAAAGTTATAGACTCTATATTTATTTATATTTCGTTGTCGGTATTTTTATCTGTATAATTACTCTCATATATACAAATTTTAATATTTATATCGCTGTAATCTATACAATTAAATATTAAATAATACCAACAATAGCATTTATTAAAACCACACACACACACATATATATATATATATATATATATATATATATATATATATATATATAAATATTGTCAGAGTCCGTTTTGTATTAATCTCATGTTACGTATGGAAGCGTGTTCTTATCCTTCGGGCGAGCTTGGGTACGCTCGTATTCCTTTCGTTCCTCAATTACAACTCTTCTCCGTTACGATCTCTTATTTCTTGTTTAGTTAATTATCAAATTCTTTCATATTTTATATTTAACCATTTTTCATATTTGAAATTAATTCAAAATGGTCAATTGTTTCAAATAAAAAAATTAAAGGTACTTTAATCAGAATAATAATCAGATTTTATTTAAAACTGCTTAATTTTATATTGATATGATGAATTTAATCAAAATCACTTGAGCGCTTTTCGAAATATTGGTAAAAATGTGTTTAGTCCATTATATAAAGTGCCACTTCCGGTTAGCAGATTTTCACGAAAAAGTTGCTGTAACATCCTTAGCATATAAAAACCTTGAATATGCAATTTTACTCCTGTACAAATTTTCGTTTTTGAGCTATACTGTTAACACACACAGACCATTTTGCAGGACTTGGTTATTTGGACTCAGGGCACCTTACAACGTGTATTTCTGTTGAAAACTCAGATTCAAAAATTTTCATGATCACAATACTTACCCGTACAATATATTACATATATAGGTAAGTGAAAGTAAAAAGAAATGAGATTGTTGCATAGTCCTAAGTTGTCAATGCGAAAAAAAAAAAAATATTAGCAACATTAACAAAATAAAGATGGAAAGAAATTTATTAAACAATAAGAGAGCATCAACAAAAGCACAATATGTCAAACTAATAGCTTATGGTAAACAAATATAATAAGAATACCTTATTAACATTTCCTACGAAAATTTACAATAAAAAATTAATAGTGTGCCCCTTCAAGTAGAATAAAAATTGGAAAAAAGTATTTATAATATATTTGTTAAGGAGGAAGAACTCTCCTATATTCCAGGTGGGCTACTGAAAGTCAGCTCTTCTTATTTTGATATTAATCCATAATTAATTTTTTCAATATCTTAAAATATGGTAAAGAAGACTATAGTAGGGATTTAATCTCTTTTTATCAATAATGAGCTGTGACCTGAAGATGGAGCAGTGTTGAGCCCGAAACTTATGGAGAAACATGTTATGAATATTCATCTTAAATAATACAAATAAGAAAGATTTTATTAAATTACTTCCAAAGTAAGAAAAAACAAAATCTCATTTTAGTAAAAGATGATCGACTCCATATTATTTTTTTTATAGCCTGATGAAAGTCTGTCTAACCATATAAAATTTTAATCTACTGTGGGAGAGAGAGAGAAAGAGAATTACTTTCTTTATTATCTTAAGGAGCTTTTGATTACATCATAAATAATTGATAGTAATAAAAACAGAAATGTAATATGCATTTTTGCACTTTATTTATAGGTGTAATAACATATCGACGACACTATTTTAAAGTAATGAACTTGACCCTATTTAATGTTGCATATTCGTTACTTTAACTTGATGCCGATGATATAATGTATAAAATATAGAAGGCATTTAGAATATAAAAGTAAATTATATTATATTTTCTTGTACAAGCTCATTAAGATTACTATATATAATCTTTTAAGTATACTAATACAAAATTGTTTGTTATTGTTAAATGATTTAATTGAAGAATGGATTTAATTTATTTATTTCAATTTTAAGGAGTACATTTATATTACGTCGGCGGAGAGGTATATGCCGAATGCCTGTCAGACGCTGCCATATTCATACAGTCTAGAAACTGTAACGTTCACCATGGGTTCCATCACTCGACCGTCTGCAAGATCCCACCAGGTTGTTCTTTAAGGATATTTAGTAATCAGCAGTTTGCTCAACTTCTTTCAGAGAGCGTGCGGCATGGGTTTGATGCTGTGTATGAACTCACTAAAATGTGCACGATAAGGTATAGTCACTAATATTATTCAATTAACTAGTAATCCTAGCTTGTTACAATATTTTTTGTAATTTCATTACCAATTTAATTTTTTCAGCAAAAAAAAAATCATTTATTTTTTGTGTTGTGTCTGTCTATCTGGTATTAAAAAATTGGTATTGACTAATACACTGAAAACTAACTTCACTTTGGGCTCAGGTAACATTGGAATAATAAACATGTACATACAACTTATCCGGTATGATCAGATTAACAATAAAAGTTAATATAATTCTAAATCGTACATTAGATATAAAAAAATATTATTATCTGTGCCACTACAACCCATGAAGGGTCTTGGGTTCAGTACTATTTAGAGAAAGCACTGTTTCTTGGTCTATGGTTTGGCAAGGAGGTGATTTGAGCGAGATCACAGTCAACCGCCAGGTTTTTCCCCACAATGAATTATTTTAATTAAGGGTACCCGCTTTATAGAGGCTGGGTATGCCCCAGGAGGGTCTATCTACCCACGGCCAATGAAACACAATAAATAATTTTTCTGCCATGAGCCAGTATTCGAACCTGGGACCTTTAGCCTTGGAAGCTCAGTATCCTGCCACTGAGCTACCCCACTTCCTATAAAAAAATATACATACATATAATATAAGGCACTTGCACCACAAACAAAAAAGTGTTCCTTTAATCTTTACTTAATTATAAACAAAAGATGTACACATACTCACACACTATATATATATATAAAACAAATAAGAAGATATAATAAGAGCAAAATAATTTTAAAGAATAACTTAGCGTAATTCCAGTCCAGGAAGTGATACAATTGGCTATTATATCTTGGTTTACTGATGTTGCAAAAAAAATGACATCAATCAAACTTCATATCATCATAATTTACAAATATTTTAATTACAAAACTTATTGGAATCAAAATATTGGGTTGTTTGGCCTATATAACCTCGTTATTTTTACATTTGAGGGGTGTAGGTCATGCCAAACGGCACAATATTTTTGTGGGCCATCTTTTTTTTTCTATTTTGTGTTCATATTATTTTACGATTCAAGATGAAAGCAAATGGGTACTCATGAGTTTTTAGTACCTAATTAAATAGACAAAGTTTGCTTACATCCAGATTGAAAACGCCCCAATTCCAAGAATTTTTGTAAATAAAATATTTTTAGGTTACTATGAGATAAAGCTATTAAGAAGTTTTAAGCGGTTGTTAATAATTTGATAAAAAGGTGTCTGTGCCAGAGACTATTAGTTTTAATCTGCCATAAATTTGAACTCCATGTCCTTTCTAAGCTCATACATACCTCATCTTATCTAATTTCATGTGTAAAATTGTTATATTTGATTTTTATATTGTGATAAGATCAATCAATAATACACATGACCCTTGCATAATAAGAGGATTTATTTTTACAGTTTAGATCTTACAATGAAATTACTAATCCTTTTTTATTATCTTGTTATACAGGATGTCCTTCGTGAAAGGATGGGGTGCAGAGTATCTGCGACAAGATGTGACTTCGACACCATGTTGGGTCGAAATTCATCTCCATGGGCCACTTCACTGGTTGGATCAAGTTCTCAGCCAAATGGGTTCTCCGCACAACCCGATATCATCAGTATCATGATTCTGAGAGCATCTGACATGGGTTCGATGCCCTTTACGTACTCGCCAAAATGTGCGCAATAAGGTATACTCACTAATATTGTATAATTAATTGATTTTGCTAGCAGGTAAATGCACCAAATATAGGCCTATCAATGCCAATTTGTCAGAAAAACAGTCAAATTTGGATTAATAAATAAATTTTTATGACTATTGATATAAACTTTCTATTCTATACTACAATGTAATATCTTTTCACTAGGGTAAGCGCACCAGCGACGGACATAGATAAGGAAATGTTTGTCTTTTTTGGCTTATCCCGCCGTTATTATACTTATAAACTTCTTTGTTTGACGTTTAGAATCTCTAGGATCTCCTTTTTCTTATAATAATAATAATAAAAGGCTTAGCGAACCCGAAGGTTAGATGCCGACATCACCAATCGCTTATTATATACCTCCCTCCACCGTTCGCCGTCCAAAACCAGTCCCTTCAGATCGGCTTTAATGCAATCTTCCCACCTTCGCTTTGGTCTACCCCTCAGACGCTTACCATTCAGCACAGCAAATATTAACCTTTTAGGAATTCTCTCGTTACTAAGCCCAACAACTTTACAAGCCCATTAGATTAGCCACGATGAAATTACCTCAATTATATTACCCAGATACAGTTCACAGGCACCCGAAATTCAATTGTTCTATTAATGGTCAAGGGATCGGTACAAGTAATGAACATATCTCAGAAAATGTTTATTATAATATTTATTTAGCTGCAAAGGTAAGATAAGATAAATATTCAACTTACTCTCAGAAAAACTGTTAGTAGAAAGGTATGAAATGCCGCACTGTTCTCAAGAGCACTATAGAAACAACAGTGATAGACATTTTAAAATTTTCTTTTGGGAACTTTGTTCATACAGTTGTCAATAGAGGGTATTGTTCTTCAATATAGAAAAAACTGGCACCTTTAAATCAACAAGAAAGCTTATTATTTACATTCAAAGTCCATCACTGACCCCTCTGTCCGTAACTAGTGTGTTCACCTTACTTGTCTATCTGAAAATTAAGAAAATAAAAATTAATTAAATTTTAGAACTGTATGAGTTAAAAGATTTTTTTTAAAAATTATTATAGTTCTACTGATGTCTTTTTTATTAACAGTGAGAATCGCACAAAAATCAGTTGGAGAGACTGAACAGTTGGTTTCATTTATAACCTCTGCCGTTAAAAACAACCAGGATGGAAACACAAGAACAAAAGTTGACCTAAGAGAGCTCAAGATACTTTAAATAAGAAGTAATAAGTGAAGGAAGAAAAGTTGAGTAGCATTAAGGTTTGAAAAGACATTGAGTTGTCTTGGACGACCTGGCCTAAATGGTAGAAAGCTGGATATGATTTATTCAGGTATGTTTATTTATTTTATATTTATATTGTTTAGTAGTTTAAGATTGATATCATCGCTTGGATCACAATTTTGTTAAAATATCTCAGAAACTAAAAATCGTACCTACATACTGGAAGTAAGGAAAATTTTCAGCATTTTATTCTCTTTCAAATGAGATATAATTCAAAATTGTATTTTGACGTAATGCCAACTTAGAGAGTCAGAAAGGGAAAAAGATAGCACCAATGAACCAAATAATAACGACTGTTTTGAATATTTAGACTAAAATATCTCAAAATTTAAATACCATGGAAAATTGAGAAACCAATTTGCAAGTCAACATTGATATTTTTTTATTTAGCCATAAAAATAAGGATTTAAGTGTTTTTATTCGATTTTCTTTTACAACCGTTTGAGCTGTTTTGACGAATTACTGACCCCCTTATAGAAATTTATTTTAAAAAATAATACAAATACTGTTTGTATAATTTTCTTATGCTAATTGACATCTTATTGTATTCAAATGTATTTTTGTAATTTTCTGTTACAAAAGACTTCTGTGAATATTTTTGTTACCTTGTGCAATTTTTCTCTTATTTTAAAGTTAACCTTTGATAATCTGAACAGGCTATGCAGTCTACTTGTCCAGATTATCAAGGCGGTCCTGTAAGTGATTAGCTCTAAACATGGATATTTTTTTAATATTATTCAAAGTGCCTAAGGGATCATAGAGTTATTCTTCTCCATTTTTCTTTTCAATAGAATATTAGATCGTCGAAGGTTATCATAAATATCAATATTTTAATTTTTAAAACCTAAATATATAAAAAATATCCGATGGCCCATAGCACCTAAGAGGCTTTCGTCTAGAATTATTGTTTATCTTGAAAACTGTATATTTTCGAGCTTTATAACACAGGGTCCATTATAGTTCTGAAGGGTCTTGGTGACAAATAAAAAAAAAAATTATGTTTCTTGACAGTGATATTATATTTAAACAGATTCTTTTAGAAAGTTTGATGGCTCAAATTATTCGCTTAGATCCCCTGAGTACTTTAAAACAATTCGAGCTCAAAATTCTGGCAAATTATATGATAACGATTTGATCATATGTTTTTAAAATGAATTGTAATATTTTAAAAAATAAAGATAAAAAATATTTTTTCGCTCATTGCTTAGATTACATCTCCGCAGTCAGGTGGGTTTTCTTCTTTTTCTTTCTTCTCTTTCTTTTTTTCAGCCTTCTCAGTTTCCTTCCTCCTTCTTTTCATCCCTCTGCTCTGTTTTAACTCTTTATTATATTATACGTTGTCTATACATCTTGATAGACTTTACAACATCTCAATTTTCTATCTAACTATTCTATTCACAATATCTTAATTTTACTGTTTATTTCCATTTCTTATATAACTTCATATTTTTCTGTTTTTACATTTTATTCTAAGATTCCCATTTTAATACTTATGTCACCTTTTTCTTTTTTTATTATGTTTACTTCATCATTCCACACTTTGTACCGCTTATTATCATTTATCTCTTTGTTCTTACTATTGTCATTATTCTAACAACTGAATTTTACTTTAATTTTTTTACCTACACTACTTATGTTTCTCATACCTTGTTATCTGGTTCTTTTCTTAGCCCTGATGATGGCCTGAACTTCAGGTCGAAACGTCGGCTAATGTCAAAATCAATATTATCATTTATTTTTGCCTTCTTATTTGACTGATCACCCCAACTATTCTTCTTATTATTATTCATGACAGTCAACCATTTACCAATTACGAAAAAAAAAAATTTTAATTTAAAAAAAAACAGACTACAGAAATTTGGAAATTTTGTCCACCCTGAGGGAATTTACTTCCTTATCTACAGAAACATCTTGTTAGATTGATAGGGAAATTGGCATATGCGAATATTTTAACTTGTTATATTAGTCTGGTTCCAATCACACATCGAGACGTTCAGATGTTAGCATGCACCGATATACAGAACGAAATATATTTGCCTAGAGCCGCAATTTGTTGTGGAAGGAATCTGACCCCTACACTGAGTTAAATTATTCGTAGATATAAATTTTCCTATCAATCTGCCAAACTGCTTCCGTAGATACGGAAGTACATTCCCTTAGGGTGGATAGAATTTCCCAATATCTGTAGTCTGTTTTTTTTTTAATTAATTTTTTTTTCATTATGCCATGGGATCATTCAAGAACATAACTTTTGCTTATAAAATTGGTATTTATTTTCAGGATTGTGAGCTTATATGATAAAGACACTAAACATTCATATATATATATTATATATATGATTCTGCAGGATGTCCTTCGTGAAAGTATTAAGTCCAGGGTGTCTCGGACAAGATGAGACTTCAGCAGCTTATTGGATTGAAATAATCTCCTACAACCACTTCATTGATTGGACCAATTTTGATGTTGAACATCATAACCGAATTTCATCAGGATCATTAATAATAATCTTTAATATATTGTAAATATGAATACAATTTGACTAATACAGTTCTATTAATATATATTTATATTATAGCATGTTATTGTATTTATTCAATTTTTTATTGTTAAAATTAACAGTGATTTAACTATTCAAAAGGTTAAAAAAAAAAAAACAAGACTGATTTAATTGTATGGAATGTTAGATACAAATAAAAATATAGTACAAATATTTTATTAACTCTTCTGTGTTTTTTTACTTCAACATACCTCCTTCAGTCAGCTCAAGACTTGGCCTGATATTTTCTTGTTTTGACATGTAAACTCTTTCTTTTTGACATATGACTGTTGACACTCAAAGATGAACTGTACTGGTGATTTTTTTAAACAATTATTGATTAATATTCACTAAAAGACCATTAATTTTTAATCCTTATTCCGATATACATATTGCAGTTTATCATTGCATACATGATTTCACCAGTTTTCATTAGTATTGCTCAGATTTTCTGGGTATCTAGTAATTTTTTACATTTTATCTGGTATACTGAACTGGGTATAATTTTGTTTTAGTGAAATAAACATTTAATTTTTTTATTGTACTAGGGCAAGCGCAACAGTGATGAACATAGGGAAATATTTGTCATTTTTGGCTTATGCCGCCGTAATTATTATAGCTAAAAACTTTTCTATTGGACATTTATAATCTCTAGGGTCTGTTTTTTTCTATTTAACACTTTAAAACTGAAAAAAAATTTGGTTATGCAGGTATAATTTCCATTTTAAAAAAAACACCTTTTTTGTACTGGTGATGGACACATGAAATTCAAATGTTCTAGTATGGACAAGGGGTCGGTAGCAGTAATAGAAATAACTAAAAAAAAATTCTAAAATCTTTATTTAACTATTAAGATAACGATAAGTTAAATGTCAACTTACTCTTAACAAAACTGTTAGTAGGAAGGTATGAAACACACTGATCTCAAGAGCATTAGGGAAACAACAATGATAGGCATTTTAAAACTTTCTTCATACAGTTGTCAATAAAGGGCATTGTTCTTCAATCTAAAAAAATTGGAGAGATATTTAATCAACAAGGAAACTTATTATTTATATTTAAAGTCAATAATTGGTATGCTCACCGTACTTGTAATTATGAATTTGTCATAAAGTTGTAAATAGTAGTTGTGAGCGGACCCATTGTTAGTTATATGAGTATCTGTACAAAATAATTTTTAAAAAATTATAATATTAAAATTTTAAACGAATGATTAATACATTTTGATAAGCATGCTATGTGTATGCTTCTATACCTTAAAAGAAACGGGCCAATGATCATAAAAAATATCGAAATTCACAAATATGTAGTTTTTGTACATACATCATTTTAGCAACATAAAGTTGTTGATTAAATTTCATTTTTGAGATTAAATTTTATTCTCAATATAGGGCAGAAATGAACATAGTAAAATTTAAAAGAAATAGCAGTTAAAATCTTAAAACAATATCATTTCTAAATTATTAATGCTTTATAGTCCTCTCGAAAAATTAATATTTTTATTACATTTTATCCTTTTAATATTATCAGCTCGAGAGGTCTAGGAAGACATCGGAAGTCGCAATCCAGGAGGACTGGGATTGGGAAGAAGACGGATGGTTTAGGACAGAGATTCCTGGATCAAGCTCTACCAAAGGAATCATCGCGCTGCTGTGATGTAGAAGAGGAGGAGATTAAATAAAATAAATAAATTTAAAATTTAAAGAAGACATTTTTCAGAATTAAAAATGGCCTCTGCTTGCTGAATCGTCGTCTTATAAAATAACTATGGTGTAAAAGCAATAAAACTACGATGTGGAAAGTCTTGATTTATGAAAAAAATAATTTATGATACAATACATAGAAAAAATTAATAGAATTACAAATTTATAATAAAATATATACTAAAAATGGTTTGTCACACAATGTTAGGCAAATAGCAGAGGGATCGGAGTATGCATTGAAAAGGCTCTGGAATTTGGCTCTTTCATCCAGGGCATTAATAATATTGTTCCTATTATCCTATCTATTACTTCATTGCGCTGAGAGCGCCTCGGATCCTTCAGGAACGATACTGTGCAGACATGTCCACTTGGACCATAGGTGTAGGGCGTGGTTGGCTTGTGTTCTGTATGACTGCAATGGTAGATTACGGTAGGGTACCCCTCACCGTAGCTGAGGGTTGCAATGTAGCTGTTCACTGAGGGTTCTGGAGCTGGAGGTACATTGTGGAAGAAGCCAGTGTGATGATGTTGATGGACGTTTGGCCCAGAAACGAAGTGGGTATGATCCGTCAGTAGCTCTGGTCTGTCTAGTGGTCCTGTGTGATCTTGATGCTGACCGAGCTTGTGTGGAACCACTGTTGGGAGTGGATGTTCAGGATCAAAGGAGGGTACATCCTGAGCTGCACACTGGAGTACCAAATTCCCTGGAACAAACACGTAAATATACAAAAAATAGTAATGGTAAATATGAAATTTTAAATTAACACACAATGTTACCAAGAAATCTGCTTCCTTATGCAACAACAAAATTGAAACTTGGCAATCGATAATATTAATGGAGATATCTACAGTACAGATTAAATAATGCTTGAGTTTTAATGGTAGTTTCAAACAATATTTTTTTTGTTGGAGATTGGTTTAAACTTTTAAACAATTTTATAAAATCAAAGATATAAAGAGGCACTTCCGATTACTCAATACTTTTGTATCCCTGAAGAACCGTAAAAAGGATAATGGTTTTGTAAATTCCAATTGTAAAGCGTTCGGACAGAAGGCATGAACTTATTTTAGCAACAGGAAAATAACAAGCACTTCCTGCCTTCAACCTAGTCTTAATTTCCTCCTTGCTTCCTTTTTAGTAGATATCCTATACCCTCAATATCTAAACTTCTTTGTATATTTAAACCTATTTAGATCTATCTATCTATTCGATCCCAAACTTTGAGTGTAATGAAGGAGCCATTTTTACTTTTGCTTATGGAGTGCTACCAATAGGTAGGTTCTCTTCATGTCTGGAGTTCTCATCCAGCTGAAGCTCCTCCCCAAAATGGTAAAATGTAACCATGTTTTATGGAAAAAATATTAAAAACTATCTCTTAAAGTATTATTGTTCATGTAATCACATTTAAAAGGACTTTAGGAATCACTTAAACACCATTTCATTTAGGCAGTTAGTTTTTTTTTTTTTTTACAAAGTAATGATCGTTATTTTTATGAAAAAAAATGTTTTTGGGCTGAAGCCCCCCCAAAATTAAATCCTGGATTTGCTAGTGCTTCCAGGATGTTGTACATGTCATGTTACTTGTTTCATATTTACTTGTTATATTTATCATTTATACAGTTGCAAATTTCAATAAAAAAAACAATTTTTTTCTTTATGACACCCCTACCTAACCCTTTCTAGCATATTGGGGTTCGCTCCAGAGCACATTTTATTAAGAATATTTTCATTTCTATTCATTATTAATGTCCATTCAATGGATTCTAAGTTAAATGAAAAAAAACTGACGTAAAATGCCAATTGTGGGGTTTGAAAGGATTGGTTTTTCGCGAATTTGGGGATGTTTCCTGCATTAGGCGAGTGGGAACTCTTTTGATTCTTATTACTGACTCTAAAAAGAAAATCTCCAGTAAAGGGAAAACTTAATAAATTATATTCCACTAATGGCATTTTTGGTCTAAGGTCGTGGGACGACTATTTAAACTGTTCTCAACTTTGAAAGCCGTTTACTCGAAACTAATAAGTACTAGTCAAACTAATAATAAAAATTTGTATGTAGAATTTTGTGAGGAATATTTTCATTCCTATTCAGTATTTCAGTCCAATGAATGGATTTGAAGTTAGTTGAAGAAAACTGACACAAAATGCCAATTGTGAGGATGAGAGGAGTGATTTTTCGCGAATTTGGGGACGTTTCATTCACCAGGCAGGTGGTAACTCTTGATTTTTATTCCTGACCCTAAAAAGAAAAGCTCCTATGAATGGTAAAACTTTATAAATTATTTCCCCCCAAAACCCTAAAGCCGTGTATTGTAACTAGAGTGGGAAGGTCAAAATTCATTGCATGGGTCTTTTACTTACCTGTGTGTCTAATGTATAGCAAGGAAAGTATTGTGATCGTGAAAAATTTTTAATCTAATTTTTCAACAAAAATACATATTTTGAAATCATCTGAGTCTAAATAATCAAATTTTGCAAAATTGTCTGTATAAACAGCCTAGCTCAAAAACGAAAAGTTGTATTAAACCAAAATTGTGTACCTTAATTAAATAGGCGTATGCTTGGGAAGATATGCCAATGTTTTCGCTAAAATCGACTTACTGAAATTGGCTAAATTTAATCGAAATACACACATTATAACAATTTTCTCAAAAGTGACATATCCTATTCATTTTTTCGTAATTGAAAAAGTTTAACAGAGATTAATATTTATTTTGAATAATTAACCATTTCATATTACTACTAATAAAATAAAATATATATATATATTTTATAAGCGTAAGATAATTGGATCACAAAATCTAAAAGTAAAATGTAGCCTACAAAAATACTGGGCCATTTGAATTATATAACCTCGTTATTTTGAAGTTTTGGGGATGGAAGTCACGCCAAACTGTCCAATATTTTTGTAGGCTTCATTTTTTTTTTAGATTTTGTGATCCAATTATCTTACGCTTCAAGTGGAAAGCAAAGGGTATTCATGAGTTTTTCGTGAACCATTAAATAGACAAACTTTACCGATTTTCATTATTGAAAACGCCCTATTTCCGAGAATTTTAACAAACAAAAAAGTAGTACGTTAGGTTAGATGAAGAAAATCACGAAGTTTTATACGAAAGTTAATAATTTGATAAAAAGAAGTCTGTCCCGAGGATTAGATGCTCTTAGTGAAATTTACACCTCCTTAATTTTGTTATTTTATCTAACGGTTTAAACAGATACTGTATTCTATCCAGAATAATAAATAAATGTTCCGTAAGTATACCTGCAACAATTGAGATCACAAGGAGATATTCGACCAACATTTTTCTACCAACTGAAAGAATAGCTAACAGAGAGTTATTATAACCCATCGCGGTCATTAAGACATAATGTCTTTTCGATGTGTTGTTTACTATCTTATCTAACGTTCTTTCTTCTTCTTAATATATATATATATATAAGCTGTGAAAACTGGGCACTAACCAGTACCCTAGAAAGTAGAATTGAGAGATTCGAAAAAAAAAGTCCTCAGTACGATAACAGGACCTATATGGGATCAGAACCTTGACACATAGAGGAGTAGGAGCAATAAAGAACTGCTAAAAGAAACTGGTCAATCAATATCTCATGATATGAAGGCAAGGAGGTTAAGATGGGCGGGTGACATGTAGCTCGAAGCAATCCATCAGGATGGATAGATAGGATAAACTAAGATATGGCTGAGCTTCATGTCGCAAACTGGAAAGCAGTAGCCTAAGATAGGCAAAGGTGGAGAAGGCTGGTTCAGGCGACCAAAGATCTACAAGGTCTGTAGAGCCAAAAAATAAAAATAAATAAAAAATATATATATATACCAGATACCATTTACACATTTAAAAAAAAAGTGGTGGATGCATTAAATAACTTTTACTTATCAGGATACTTTCAGAAGAAATAAATTGTTTAAAAAGTTATTAAACCTTAAATGTTTTGCTGTAATTATAATTATACACTTAAAGAGATACATATAAATTATGACAATTCTATGTAGGTACTCTACATTTTTGGTTCTTCAAACTGAAAAAAAAAAAAAATTCTAATCAGAAATTCTATGGAAACATTTATTTCTTTAAGCTTCCCAACGGTATAGCATACATCTATATTAACAGTTTTATTTCCAACATTTGTTTTTAATTGCAAGAATGTTTCTCCTATAGAATGCAAGGTGCTTTAGTTAACTATCAAATTCTTTCACAGTTAATAATATTTATCCAATTTGTATATTTATCTCTTGATATAAACAATGAGAGACTTTTTATTATTTCTAATAATCAAAATTAAAGGTACTAAAGAGGAAGGAATATAGAAAATTGTCCATTTAAGCCCTGTCAAAATAATTCAATGAGATCAAAACTTATCCAATATTTAAGAACATTTTATTTCACAGAAATATAATGAATTTAATCATAATTTTTAGAGTTGTTTTGGGGAAGATCGTAAAAAACAAAGTATTTTAATGAAAAAGCTAAGGTAACATCCCATGATTATACCAATTTTTTTAAGCGATTTTCTAAATTATCTTAGTAAAATCTATTGATTGGCTACTTTTTATATGATTAATAAATAGAAGTTAATTTTCGTATAAAAAGTTTCCAAACACTACACAAATACTGTTTCTAAACTTAGCGCTGAGCATTGGAAATATATCAGTAGACTATCTCTAAACTCATCGATGGGTCAAAAAAATGAAGTTCTGCATTCCTTTATTACTCGATTGAATCACCGATAGCTCATTATTTTTATCGGCTTTTGGAGCCGTTGTATGTATAACCTCTATTATAATAACTATAACCTCAGTGCTATTTTTCAAATTTACTTTACAAATTTACTTATATTCAGTTTGTTTTCTATATATATTTATATCTGTTTTGAAACTCATCAATTTAGTAGGTAAATATTTCCTAGTATATTTTTTATTTTTGATGTTTTGTAACCTTCCAAGAGAATAAACTTTCCTCTAGTACCCAGAAAGTCGTTTCTAAACTCAGCTTAGATTGTTATTCATCAGTGGTGGATTCAAGGGATTAATGGATTTCTCTTAATATCAGGATTATTTTTAAAAAATCCTACTTTTAAAAAAATTGAAAGGAGCCCGATGTTGCCAAAAACTCCAATTCAGAAAAGGTTAGATGCGATTGAAAACATCAATTAGAATTCCACCTCTATGACGTCATTATTCTGAATGTTTGAATCAAAGAACCTCTATGTCGTCTAACGTGCTTTGTTGATAACCTTCCGTTTTCAATTCAAAATAGATGTGTTGGTTCATTTTAAGTTAAGAGAGTACGAAAATAAGTTAATGCAATGAAAGGTAAATACTTAAAATACAAATGATTGATCTTATTCTACTTACATAGCCGATATTAAAATAAGGAAAGTTTTGTAAGTGAGGATTATATGTCTTCCTCTGAATAAAAAAAATAAATATTTCTAATCAATATATTTTTAACAAATTTTCGCTGCAGTAATTAGTTTAAAAATAAAGTTGACTCTAAAATGATTGCAAGCTAACATTTTCTTATATACAAAAAATTTATTTTATGGCAAGAGTAATCTAAGTTATCCAAACTGATTGCTGCAAAAGGGTTGCTGGATTATATAAACTGTCCAGGGAAGTACTGATAATAAAATATTAAACTAAATAAATACTTACAATTTTATTAATTGGATATGCATGTAATACTCACTTGAAATAATTAAATTTGTATGTATGTACATATTTTTTAAGTAACTCAGTTATTTTTGTTTGCTATGACTTTTGGAAAGGATTTTTATTTTATAATCAAAACATCTTTTTAATAAGAATTATTATTTTACATTTTGGCTCTGAAAAGCCATTTTAAAATATTTTTTATTTAAAACTAAATATAAGTTTTTTTGTTGCTTTTGTCTTTTCAATTTCCACTAGGAGCCTTTTTTTTCTCCTCATTAGATGACGTCATTTTTAACGATACTTATCCTTCAATTAAATAAATCACTTATAAGGTCATAATTAAAAGAAAGTTTTGTAAAAAAAATTTTTTGTAAACATCTTTGTTGGGCAAAATTTATTTTATCACTGAAAAATGTACATCAAAAAACAATAATAAAAACCTTTTACCATATTTTCTTTCTTTTTCGCCACCATTTTCATATTATTGTTACTACGCTTTAGTCTAGACTGATTCACTACAATATCAAGACGTCCTCTATTGGGTTTAATTTAAATTTATTATGTTTATCAGTTATAAGAATTAACATTATCTATTTAACTTTTTTAGAAGCTCTGTATAGTTTTGGCTCATGTTTTCTGAATCTGATTTAAAATTGCATTTTTCAAGTTTTCTGTAATTGTTATCACTTCCAGAATTTTTCTTCTAAAATATTTGTTTCATTGTGGTTAATTTCTACATCTTTAAAGTCAAATCTATGCCCTTTCTCTACACGATGATGTACCAGTGCTGTTTTTTTTTAATTGTATTTTGGACTTTTTTTATTTCGGTAATCATTTGTATGCCCCTCTAATAAATTTGTCCGTTTCTCCATAACATATACTGGAGAATTCCAAACAATTGATTTTATATATATATCTCCTGCATTTTTATTTTTATCAATTTATCTTTCATATTATTTAAATCTTTTTTTTTCAGTTATGGGCGAGTATACTCTTGGCATCGCTACTGGATTTGCCTTAGGTGTGGTAGCTGCTTTTTTCACAAAACGCCTGCCAGCATTAAATTTTAAAGGCGTCCCTGTTGTGGGCACTAAACGGGAAGGGTATGGTAATGTGAAGATGGTACTCGTGGTGAGGAATGACCTGGGAATGAGGAAAGGAAAGATAGCCGCTCAGTGCGCTCATGCCGTCCTCGGCTGCTACAAATCTGCTTCTTCTTCTTGTCCTGATATATTGAACGAGTGGGAAGAATCCGGTCAACCGAAAGTAGGTTTAATCAATCGATCAGTTTCATCCTTCAGCTAGGGTCTTTTGCAGATTAGCCCTGCCAGTAATTTTTAAGCAGGAAAAGAATCTGTTATAGAAAAGTATCAGTTATGTTTGAATCAATATTGTTATTCTTCTATTATACAAACATATGTTAACAGATTAATTAAGTTCCCAATTTATTGATTTTAAGCCAAACTACAGCAATTTTTAATTTGGGTCAACTTAATGACTACAAAATCTTATTACCATGTTTCAGCTCGTCAAGCCAGTTTCAAGTCTGTCAATTATACTTCTATTGTGAATTACGTGTGTCTTCTCATAATAACTAGTATCACGACTGTCAAGTCTACCTTTAGCTTATTATGTGTGAACAACACACATGTTGTCGGTTTCATTTCTATTGCATGACTGATTGATCTATTGACAGTCACTCAATATAAATGAGACCGACAACATGTGGGTTAACACATAATAAGTTAAAGGTAGACTTGACAATCGTGATACTAGTTATTAAGACAAGACACACGTAATTCACATAAGAAGTATAATGGACAGATTTGAAAATGGTTTGACGAGCCAAAACATCGTAATAAGATTTTGTATTCATTAAGTTGACCAAATTAAAAATTGGCATAATTTGTATTTAAATCAATAAATTGGAAACTAAATATTATGTACCAAAGTAGAAGAGAGAAATATTGAACAGATTAATTTATTTAGAAAAATTAATTCGTTTAGATTATATTCCAGTTTTAATAATGACGAGAGGAAAGTCTTTTAAGTTTTCTCAGGAAGTTGGAATGCTCCATAAGAATGAATACCAGTTATAAGGAGTTCTGGCCGTGTGAATAACCTTTAGAAAAAAAATGTGAATTAGTTTAATTATAATTAAGGTTTTCAATACCGTGTGTTTTTTTTTAATTACGTAAAAAAGGATACAGCGCTTCTGTTTAGCCTTCATTAGTCATTAATATGAGTGATGCGGCTGAGAGAGAGGCGCTGAGATCTGCCAGGGCTTAGCTTTTCTTTACACATGTGGGGGGAAAAACCCAGCTCGAAGTTCTCCTGAATGAATGCTTGTAAATATTTAAGTTGTTATTTTGATTAGTTTAAGTTTCTTTTTGTTTATATATATATATATATATATATATTATTAATTGAGTTATATAACATTCTGTTACTTGGACAATAATTATAATGAGGTAAGACTACATTCACACCATATGTACAGAAAATATAAAATAAACAGAAACAAATAACAACTATATAATTATCAAAAAGTATAAACAAGAAATAAAAAAACACTTAATGATGAGTAAAAAAAACATACCTATATATAGATTATTTATTTTACATAGCATGTGAGTGAGATTCTCCATCCCTATTACTAATGTCCATTATTGTGACAAAATTGAATATGACTCAATAAAGAAATAAAAAAAATATGTAAAATAACAGGTTACTACGTAATATCTGTTAAAAATAACTGGCGGGGCTAATATGCAAAAGACCCTTCAGCTTTCTTTTTCTTTTCATAATAACCTTTTACTGTTGTAGATAGTACTGCAATTGGACGGCAAAGGAGAGGAAACACTCATAGCTCTAAGAAACAAAGCTAAAGCTGCCAATCTCGTAGCTAATGTTATTCGAGATGCCGGGAGGACCCAAGTTGCCAGATATTCTGCGACAGTTCTAGGAATAGGACCTGCTCCTGCGGAAATGATAGATCCTCTTGTCAAACATTTGAAACTGTTGTAAAAATAGGCTGTTATTATTTGTATATAATCGTTAAATTATTAAAATAAATAAATATATACATTGTCATAAGAGCTCTTAAGATTTCATTATCATTGAGGAATAAAATAAAATATATAGGAATATAACTGAAATCTATAAAAAAAATCATAATCATGTTCTAGTGGTTAAAATAGTAAGAAAAATAAATAATAAAAAAAAAAGAGAATAAAGGCACAAAATTAACACTACAGAGGTTGGTTTAATTATGCTGACGATTATTTACCTTTCTAAGAGCTTAATATAGTCTTTAAAAAGCCCCCGTCCCCTCCAAAATGAAACCCTGAAACCGCTAGTGCTGTATATAGCGATGTGTAACCTCCTCTCCTAATACAAAATGAAGATTTTAGACCAAAAATATGTATAGGAAATGGTGATATTCATGTGAAGGTGGTAGTTTGATTTTACTTGGGCAACAGCAGTTAGTTTTCTTGACATTTCCCCTTGAATATAATATATTAATTACTATATGATATAATATGAAGAAGAGATTAATGTTAGACGGAAGGCAGGGAATGCTTGTTATTTTTCTGTGACAAAACTACTTAGTTCGCGCCTCTTGTCCCAAAACTTAAAAATTAGAATCTATAAAACAATTATCTTGCCTACAGTTCTTTATGGATGCGAAACTTGGCCGCTTACATTAAGGGATTAGCAGCATCTTAAGGTTTTTGAAAATAAAGTATTGCGTATATTATTCGGATCGAAGAAGGATGAGTTAACCGGAGAGTTCAGACGGTTACACAACGCCGAATTGCGTGAGCTGTATCCGGGTAATATAATTGAGGTAATTTCATCGCGGCGAATCAAATGGGCTTGTAAAGTTGTTGGGCTTAGTAACGAGAGAATTCCTAAAAGGTTAATATTTGCTGTGCCGAATGGTAAGCGTCCGAGGGGTAGACCGAAGCGAAGGTGGGAAGATTGCATTAAAGCCGATCTGAAGGGACTGGGTTTGGACGGCGAACGGTGGAGGGAGGTGTGGAACAAGCGATTGGTGGTGTCGGCATCAAGCCTTTGGGTTCGCTAAGCCTTATTATTATTATTATTATTATTATTATATGATATAATAAAAAAGGAAGCACAATATATAAAGCTGGTTGAATAAATTTTAGGGTTACAAATTGGCAATAAGAATAATTATAAATACATCATAACATAAATTTGCAATAAGGCGCTATGTATAATATAGATTTTTAAAGAAATTAAAAATCTATCAGAACTATAGTTTCGTTCCATTTATTTTACGTTGATAAAAAATAATAATCAGAACTACAGAATACATGTAAATTGCAGTTATACTATTTGAGTAACGAGTAGTACAATTAAATGAACAGTTGTAGAATTTGTAAGATGGGGGTTGGTTCGCCGTTAGGCAGACAGGGGGTATCTCCCTAGATATCCAATAAAATGTAAATCAAATGAGAACATATATTTTTTTTTATTATTATTTTCCTGTAAACACAACCCCCTCCTGGAGTTTTGCCTGTTGTTCCCGGCTTATCCTGTATATTGTATATTATTATTTTTTCTAGTAGTTTTTGAATTACTAGAAACTAGTTGGCCCGTGCTAATAATTCGCAAAAAAATTTGATTAGTGAAGAAATAGAAAAACCATATGGAAATAACTAGTTCGTATGTATTATGTGAGGAAGGAATTAATATTTTTTCCTTGGTCGATTACAATATTCCATTTAACATAATAGACCAAAATATTTGTACAAATTGCTTTGCTAGGACCTATTTTTAAACGCTGACTGGAAAGATAATAAAAACAAAATAATGCCCCAATCATGGGATTTTCTAAAGTATTAAAAAAATAAAATGTAAGAACAAACAAATACCTTTATGAAATTATAAAGAAATAATACATCAGCCAGGAAAAAAAGTGTAGTAGACTATCCTAATTGCAATATCTTTAAAGAGGAAGACATTATTAAGTATACCAAAACTAATGGACTGTATCTTTGTCCGATTTATTTTTTGTTTTGCTGATAATTTAGTAATCTTTCTATTATCATGGGTAGAAAACAAATGCATACTTTTTGAGTTATTTGCGAATAAAGTTTCTTTTCCTTCATAACTTTTTTTCCAGAAATTTCAGGACGAATATTTTTCGCATGTGAAGGAGAAGAATATCTTCGAAATGAGTGGTCAATCATTGGATTTGATGAAGAATTGCAAAATTATGGCGTACCGACAATTAACCTTTTAGAAATAATATATAGGATATTTGTGGGAAATAGTCCATGGTACAGCGGTACCTTTTTATCAAATAAAATCCGCCTAAAATTTGGTGAATAGCATTATCTTATCATAACCTACAATTAAACATGTTACCTTGCAAAAGGTCAGGTACATCAAATTTTTTTTTATAAATTGGTAGGTATGTAGTGATTATAAAAAATCTAAGTTTCCAACCTTGAAAACCTTGTGGGTTCTCTGCCTTTTCAAAAAAAAAATTGAAATTTCAAACTTTTTTTGGTTTATGATAAATATCTCCTTTTTAGAGAGATGTATAAAAAATGTTTATATTCAATTTTAAACAGCTTAAAGTTAACTGACATTTTTGTACATAACATTTTTTTCTTAACCCAACAGAAAGTGAACTAACCAGCTTTCATAATTTGCCCATTTCGATTTATTCAGAATAGTGCTCTTTTAGTTGTGGATGGAAGAAGTTTGTAACTCCATTTTAAACCTCATTCAGAGAATTTGGAGGTTTGCCTTAAACATAATGAGCCATTGACTGGAAGGATAGAGAAAGTCTGGAGGTGTTTTGAAAAGTATGTTACATGGTGGGCAAGCATTTTCACATTAAATACCTTAATTTTTAATGACGTACTAAAAATTTATAATTTAGCCTAAATAACCTGATTATTTTGACACAGAGGATTGAGCACAGACGGATTTACGGGGGAGGAGGGGGAGCTTTGGGGTGAAGCCCCTCCCAAAACGGTAAAATATAACCATGTTTTATAAATAAAAAATACTAAAAACTATCTCTTAAAGTAATTACATTTAATAGGATTTCAAGAATCACTTAAACACCATTTCATATAGGTAGTTAATTTCTTTCTTTCTTTTTTCAAGTTAATTATCGTTATATATATGAAAAAAAATCGTTTGGGCTGAAGCCCCCCCCAAAAAAATTGAATCCTGGATCCGCTAGTGGGATTGTGGTAAGTTCAAACAGCCCAATATATTTATAGGCTTCCTGTTTTGTCAATATTATCATTTAAATTACCTTACGACTCAAGTGGAAAGCAAATGGATGTGTTCCTGAGTTTTTAGCATCTAATTAAATAGACAGTTTGCCGATCTCCAGATTGAAAACATCCCCTTTTCGAGAATTTTCGTAAATAAAAAAGTTCTAAGTTGCGATAAGAAGAACCTATTTATAAAGTATCGCGGACTCTGTAGACGTCCGCGATAGACTGAAAAGACTAATGAACAGCTGCGTAAGATCTGTGATCGGGGCCCCAAGATACTCCCATGTCTCTCACAACTACGCTGAGTTAAAGTGGCTTTTCTCCTCCTTCCGAAGACAATATTTCCTAGGTATGTTCCTCTACCACATCATCGTCCTTACGCCTACAACCTTCTCCTGTTCAAATCCTCAGTCCATTCCCTGTCCACAAGATCTCGACCTTCTAACCTTTACATGCCTTCTCACAGATCTGCCTCATTCCAAAATTCCTTTATTGTTCGCTCTGTCAACTTTCTGGAATTCCCTCCCTATCAAAATTCGACATTCCGCATCCATATCCACATTCAAAACCCTCCTATTCCAATTCCTATCCCAAAAACAGTCAGATAGTTGCTAACCATTCGAGCTGGTTTTAATAGAGAATTTGATACATTTTTATTTTTTAATTCTTTATTATTTTCTTTATTATTTTTTTTTCTTATCTTCTTAGAATCGGTGATTAATTTGTCCGAAAATATTTGAGGTTCGTTCGGGCTTAAAACAGGGTGATTCTCTTTCGCCTCTCCTGTTCAATTTGGCATTAGAACATGCCATTAGGAGGTAATGCGAACCGAGAAAGGGTTGGATCTGGGCGGGACAACATCCGTGCTGGGCTATGCTGATGATCTGGTACTGTTAAGCGAAGACGTTGAAACTATAAAACTAAATACGACAACGTTAATGAAAGCCGGTAAAGAACTAGGACTCGAAATAAACGTGGATAAAACAAAATATATGGTTAGCTGCAAAAATGGCGATACTACTGGTGATATCGATATAGATGGTAATATGTTTGAACAGGTAGATAAATTTAGGTATCTAGGTTCTACGATAACTAGAAAAAACGAAATTGAAGAAGAGATTAAGGTTAGACTGAAGGCGGGAAATGCTTGTTATTTTTCTGTGACAAAACTACTTAGTTCGCGCCTCTTGTCCCGAAACTTAAAAATTAGAATCTATAAAACAATTATCTTGCCTACAGTTCTTTATGGATGCGAAACTTGGCCGCTTACATTAAGGGATGAGCAGCGTCTTAAGGTTTTTGAAAATAAAGTATTGCGTAGAATATTCGGACCGAAGAAGGATGAGTTAACCGGAGAGTTCAGACGGTTACACAACGCCGAATTGCGTGAGCTGTATCCGGGTAATATAATTGAGGTAATTTCATCGCGGCGAATCAAATGGGCTTGTAAAGTTGTTGAGCTTAGTAACGAGAGAATTCCTAAAAGGTTAATATTTGCTGTGCCGAATGGTAAGCGTCCGAGGGGTAGACCGAAGCGAAGGTGGGAAGATTGCATTAAAGCCGATCTGAAGGGCTTGGGTTTGGACGGCGAACGGTGGAGGGAGGTGTGTAGTAAGCGATTGGTGGTGTCGGCATCGAACCTTTGGGTTCGCTAAGCCTTTTATTATTATTATTATTTTATTATTCTATTCTATAGACAAAATAAAAATAAAAATTCGAAGCCTTGAGGTCTCGTTCTACTCTTTTAACTATTCATGACTTTTAGTTCAAGTTGAATGCTTTATAATATTTTAGAACAAAAAAAGGTTTGCTCCTAGACATCCTCTTTGGGAGAAGTAT